TTTTTTTATATTATTATTTTTTTATTTTTTATCTTACTATTTTTATTATTTTTATTTTATTATTATTATTATTATTATTATTATTATTATGATGATCATGATGACGATCATGATGATGGTGGTGATGATGATACACCTAGCTCGATTAATTTAGAGATCTGATAGTCGGAGAGTCGTGATGATTTTTAACTTCAGCACAAAAAATATGAGGATATTCTTTCTGAATAAAAATTCCGTGCACCTTTTATCAAAAGCTTTTCGGGTTTTATCGCCTGCCGATGAGTTAGAAGGTAGAAGGGTGGAAATCTACACTGATGAGGAAGCTATTCTGAAAGAGTAAATGTATAAAGGAAAGATTTAGATAGCAGTGGAAATAACTAAGAGAAAAAATTACCACTTTTCGGAAAACTTCACTCAATAATCATCTATCATACTCCATTGCGAAACGCCTTTTAATTATGGATTTAATTAAATAATAATTGCACAACAGAGAAAACTAAATAAGCAACCGTGTTAATAAAAGCAATATTTTTCACTTTCATTGAAATCATTTTGCAATGTTTTATGTCTTAATTTAATTTGTATAATTAATTAACAGGATACTTAATCATTTTTTCGGTAAATCCCAAAATAGTTGTAATTTTAATTTTTAATTTATTTCATTTCAATTTTTTAATAATACTATTATTATTATTATTATTATTATTATTATTATTATTATTATTATTATTATTATTTTTCCAGTTTTCCTAGTTTTCTGTTTAATACCATCATTTAACAAGTATTTTATCTGAGATCTGAGGTAAAGTAGGTTTTTCTTTTTTCTCTTTAAAAATTATTGCGCATATTTCAAAAATATCAGATAATTATAACATTTTTATTGAACTTTCCAGTTTCGGAAATTATTCGGTATTAAACAAAAAATATCTTTTAGTTTCTTTATCGTAGAAACATTTTCGGAGCTATCATTGAATAGATACGCACACGTATACTTAGAGACAGACACTATCTGAATGAAATTGCAATAGACATCTGCGTCTAGAGGGCTAATTTACTTTTCTGTCTGGCGACAACCCCGGTAAACAAGAAAAAGAGTATAAAACAAGAGATGCAATCATTTGAAATCATTTTTAAAACTCCTGTAGTTAGACTGAATATAATTTCTTAATAAATGTAGAATTTTAAATAGACAAAATATTTAGATTTGAAATTTGATCATCTGGCCCTCAGCAAATCGAAAAGAATGGAACTTGTATATGCAAATTAAATAATCAGTTGTTTTTAAACCATTTCACGTCAAGTAAGGTGATAATGCCATTAAGACGCAGGAGAAAATGAGAAAAGGCTACTGAGGAGAAAAGACAATAAAAAGAACAGTATTTAACAAGATAGAAGATGACAGGATTTTACAAGATAGAAACTACCAATCTTGTACTACGCTTAAATTTATTAAATCGACGTTCAAAAAAGAACAATTTATAGAAAAAAACACAGGGAAGCTAAGTTCTTCTTCTTGATATTCCGTGTCCCCTGAAGACGTAGACGATCATAGATCTCCACAACTTCCTGCCTATTGTAACTCTTTATAAATTTTGTCTTTCTGTTATTTATCCTAAAGCCTGTTCCGCCATCCATTTACTCAGGCTAAGTAAGTCATGTGCTGTTTTGGGCTGTCTCGCTTGCCTTCAGTCTGTCCTGTGATTATCATATTTTCCAAGCCTTCCTTCCTCATTACATGTCCTAGAAATCTCGACTGTCTATTCCTGGTATTAAGTATGAGTTTCCTTTTGTTTCCCTTTTCTCTAAATCTTCGTCGTTGCTCACATGTTCGGTCCATGGTATCCTCAACATCCATCTGTAGAAAAGTATTTTTGTTGCTTCAAGTCTCTTCTTCATCTTTCAGGCGATTGTTCAGCTCTCACTACCATACAAGAGAACAGATATCACAGTTAGATACATAGATAAATGAATAGAAATATATTAGATAGAAACAGATTGAAATAGATAGATAGATAGATAGATAGATAGATAGATATTAACAGAATGATATATATATATATATATATATATATATATATAGAGAGAGAGAGAGAGAGAGAGAGAGAGACAGAGAGAGAGAGGGATAACATTTTCCTTGTCTCCAGCGAAATTTCTCTATTTCTTAGTGCCCTGCTTAGCTTTTCGGAATCTATCTTTGGCTGTCCCAATACGCCTTCGGATTTCAGTATCACACTGTAATTTACAATGGCGGAAGGAGTGATTGAATTCGAAATGCCAGATCAGGACCGATAACTCTGCAAATTCTTCTTTGGATTTTGTCAAGAATTTCTAGATATATAGCTGAAACACCTAACAAAATATCGAAATAATATTCGATTTACGGACAAATGGCAGTCTTATAAAGCAGATTCGGATGAGAAAAAGTCTAGCAAGACAGTGAATCTACTAGACGCAGTTTTAGCAATTTACTCAGTATAATCGGTCCGATTCATATCAGGCGAAGACATTAAACGCCGCTATGAATTATTCCCCTGGGAATTAGTATCAGCCAATCTACTGGAAGAATAAAAAATCTTTTAGATGATTAGAAGTGTGCAGTTTATCTTTGAAGGTGTTAAAATTAACAAGTCAGTTCTTGGCCCACTTAACAACAGTTTAAAGGTCATTTTCGAGATCAGTTGCCAATTCGACATTATCGAATCTGGCAGCCTTATCATGTACACACTGTTTTAATTATTCATCTTTGCCAGTCATTTTGAGTCCGATATTTGTATAGAAGCATACGTCTCAATCTAATCTATGAAGTAGACAACCAGATTTTTTAGTGAAATCTGAAGGTGAAAAACCATCACGCAACATCTTTCTTTAGACTATTTATTTCGAAAAATTGTCCTCATCTTTGTTGTTTCGAACTAGAAGATACCCTTAGACATGAGCAGTGAAATGAGAACAGTACACTCTCCCTCACCGAAGATTGAATAAAGGGTTCAGTTGGCAATTCCCGATAGGTTACCCATATCGATGTACACATAGGTAAGGCTGAAGGACACAAAAAACAACAAAGATGAGTACAATAGTCCGAATTTAAATAGTGTAAATAATGATGATTCTTTATCCCAGAAATTCAAACAAAACTGACATCTGCACTGAGAAAGAAAAATAAATACTGTTTAGGAATTGTGAATATGAACGAGACGAATTTGAAGGAGACAAGAACAAGAAAACATCGTGAAAGCATCCATTTTCTATCATTCTATTTCTGTATGATAAACAACTTCTTGGAAGTGACGTTAGGCCGAAAAATGCATTGGTAAATGATTTTACTATGAAAAGGCATTGGAAAGTGATTTTACTATGAAAAGGTATTGGAAAGGGATTTTACAATTGAAAGGAATTGGAAAAGTATTTTACAATGAAAAGGGATTGGAAAGTGATTTTACTATGAAAAGGGATTGGAAAGTGATTTTACTATGAAAAGGCATTGCAAAATGATTTTACTATGAAAAGACATTGGAAAGTGATTTTACTATGAAAAATCATTGCAAAATGATTTTACTATGAAAAAGCATTGGAAAGGGATTTTACTATGAAAAGGCATTGGAAAGTACTTTTACTATGAAAAGGCATTATAAAATGATTTTACTATGAAAAATCATTGCAAAATGATTCTACTATGAAAAATTATTGGAAAGTGATTTTTCTATGAAAAGGCATCGGAAAAGTATTTTACAAGGAAAAGGCATTGGAAAATGATTTTACTATGAAAAAGCATTGGAAAATGATTTCACTCTGAAAAACCATTAGAAAATGATTTTATTGTGAAAAGACATTGGAAAGTGATTTTACAATGAAAAGGCATTGGAAAATTATTTACTTGTCAGGATCTTCTGTATATTGTTGGCTTGAGAATGCCATCCCATCACGTGGCACATTTGGAAAGTGTCTGAAAGCAATACTGCTGGTCGACTCAGGATTTGTAAGTGAAATTTTGTAGACAGATCCGCTTGAAGTAACAAGTCACCTTGACCTAGCATTTGACTTCGGTGAAAAGTTTTATTACATCATGGCGTGCGTTATCCTCCAGAACTGAGGTCCACTCAGCATAGTTGCAGTATAAACCACAGGTGTGCTGTGTAGTTTGAGCGTACGTCTGTAGTAGAATCTGATTGGCCAGCCAGGCAGGCGCATTATCTTGTATTTCAGATTTGTGTATACATTGTACATTTAACCAATTAAGATTCTTACACCAGCAACGACCACATGTCTGAAAAGTATTTGAATAATACATAACCCCAGATGTTGAAAATGTCTTGAACCATGACGGATATAACTGGGCCATTAATATTCGGAGAAAATCTCGATAGGTTACTGGCTACTGTCCTCTGCTTAACTTGCTTTCGGTTTGTCTGGTGAGTGTTAAATTCACTAAGCTTTCTTTCCTTATGATGTGTCCCGAAAATGCCAGGTGGCTTTAGTCGCAGATTCTTAGCCGCGTATTCCTCGTAATTCCAAATCTCTTTAAATCAACCTCATTTGTTACGTTCTCTGCGAATGCTAATCTAAACAGTCGCCGGTAGAAGCACGTCATTTTTGCTTCAATTACGTTAATCCACAGCCCACAAACCGTATTGTGTTTTAGTTAAAATATGGTTGCTCTTTTCTGTTTGCACTCTCTTTTTTTTGTTTTGTTTTTGTTTTTTTCGTGATGGCTTGAGAAAGAAAATAAAAAATAACCTGATTTTGAAGATTTTGAGAAAATCTACGTAAAACCATCGTTGCATCTTGTTTCTGCGTCATATGAATGTTCATATAATGTGGTCCATATGTAAAAATGCACTATTACAATAACATTTGGTATAGATGTATGCTTACTGGCTGGCTAGATAGATAGATACATATATACATACATATATACATGCATACAGCTTAATAGATATATAGAAATGAACAGACTAAGTTAGATACATAGATAAATGGATAGAAATATATTAGATAGAAACAGATTGAAATAGATAGAAAGAAAGAAAGAAAGAAAGACAGACAGACAGACAGACAGAAAGAAAGATGGACAGACAGATAGATATTAACAGAATGAGATAGATAGATAGATAGATAGATAGATAGATAGATAGATAGATAGATAGATAGATAGATATGAACTGACTGACAGAAAGAAAGACGGACAGACAGATAGATATTAACAGAAAGAGATAGATAGATAGATAGATAGATAGATAGATAGATATGAATAGACTGAGATAGACAGATAGATAGATATGAATAGATAGATAGATAGATAGATATGAATAGACTGAGATAGATAGATAGATAGTAGATAGATAGATAGATAGATAGAAAGAAAGAAAGAAAGACAGAAAGACGGACAGACAGATAGATATTAACAGAATGAGATAGATAGATAGATAGATAGATAGATAGATAGATAGATAGATAGATAGATAGATATGAACTAACTGAAATAGATTGGAACATGCTGAAAGAGATAGATAGATAGATAGATAGATAGATAGATAGTAACAGAATGAGGTAGTTATATATATATATATATATAGAGAGAGAGAGAGAGAGAGAGAGAGAGAGTGAGAGAGAGAGAGATTTCTATGTAGTTTGCTTTTATGTCGATTAAAAGAGATTGTGGAATTTTCTTATGAAATGTGACACATGTCTATCGGAAAAAACAACTGAAATGATGGCTTTCATTTCAAGATCGATCAAAAATTTCCTTATCAATGCATTACGAAGTTGTAAGCAGAGAAGATTCAGCGTCGCCCAATGCTAATGTCTCGGTTCTGACGTGAATATACACAGATGAATGAATCTTTAAAGATTTACATTTATAATATATACGAATAATGTATATATATATATATATATATATATATATATATATATATATATATATATATATATTTGTGTGTGTGTGTGTGTGTGTGTGTGTGTGTGTGTGTGGTCTGGCGTCAACAACATCAAAGAAGCCAAATATATATAGAGAGAGAGACGTCATTCGCTACACATTATGCGGCATCTCAACTTGCATCGAGTCGAGTAGGGAAGAAATGTGTCTCAGTTGCTGGACTCAAACGTCATACGAAAGTTCGTTAAAATGTTGCTGTAACATCTACTGCAGGTGACACACCACGTTGCCACATCGAGGCAAGAGAGTGTAAATTCCTAGCAGGACAAAAATGAAAAATCAAAATAAACATCCGCGATGCCCATATTTGAAAATCCTCCTCGGAATTATACCTTCCAGGCACAAACTGATATATATATATATATATATATATATATATATATATATATATATGTCGGTCGGAATATGCCTATTCCACATATGAAGTGATTTCGGATTTTATTATATATATATATATATATATATATATATATATATATATATATATATATATATAAAATAAAATCCAAAATCACCTCATATATATATATATTATCATTTAAACGTTTGTTTAGTAGATACTCATATCTGAGTAGACATATCCTTTATTTATTAAACGGTATATTTATTATATTTTTTCCGCCCTCAATCTTATTAAACGAAAATATGCAGGATTCGAACCTGCGTCCCCCTCGGCAATGAAAATCGTCGTTAGATCCGACGGGCTTTTACCATCTCAGCCCCGAATGAAATTTGTCCATCAAGCAAAGCTGAATAATGCCTTTAGTCGAAATCCTTCTCGCCATAGATTCTCGAATTTTCATATCTGCTCAGTTTAGTATCCAAAATTAAACAAAGCAATTTCTAAAGAATAATGGACTTTTTATCTATTAATCCGACAGATTTTACCATTTAAAGGATATTCTTAATAGGATACTCATATTTGAATAGACGCTCCGTTTATTTATTAAACGGTATATTTCTTTATTTTCATCTACCGATCTGAATATTCAATAAATCTCATAAAAGAAAAAACATGCGCCATCAGGATTCGAACCTGCACCTCACAGAGGAAACCGTCGTTAGATCCGAAGTTCTTCTACCGCCTAAGAAGAAATCTGTGTCCTTTCGGAATCGTATAAAGTAAATTGAAATTTAATAAATTACAAGTGTTTCACAGATTAAACGCCTCGGTTTGGTATAAGGATCATGAAATTATAGTGATCATCTAGTTATAATGATCATCTAATTATAATGATCATCTAGTTATAATAACCATCTAATTATAATGATCATCTAGTTATAATGATCATCTAATGATAATGATCATCCCGTTATTATGATCATCTAATTACAATGGTCATCTAGTTATAATGATCAACTAATTATAATGATCATCTCGTTATTATGATCATCTCATTATAATGATTATCTAGTTATAATGATCATCTAATTATAATGAATATCTGGTCAGTCTAAAAAACTCCTGAGTAGTACGTTCGATCCTCACCAGGTGCATATTTGTGGCCTTGTACTAAAATATGCTAAACATTGTGAGAAACAAGGGTTCCATTGATTGACCCCATCAGCGTGGGTTAATCTTTAGTGCCAGACTCATCATCTGGTTGACGATAACTACTGAGTAATGATTTCGATTTTCACTGGGTGCCACATACATGTGGCCTCATCTAAACTGAGTAAACAACGACATCTTAGTAAGTTTACAAACACACATTTACGTCTGAAAATTCGTATATATATATATATATATATATATATATATATATATATATATATATATATATATATATATATGACATTTTCACATATTCATATAGTTATATTTTAAATGAACATGGGAATTTTTTGGGCAATTCCTCTTCATAATATTTATTTTGATAAGAATCTCCAAATTCATATCGAAACTCAGTGCAAAACTTTTTAATAAATAACGATTTTTCAGATACAATTTGTCAATTTTCCTGCGCCATAGTTCCATCACGTATCCTGTAAACACGCTGCCTATTTTACAAGCATAAAAATATGCTAGTGTCAGAAAAGTGGATATATCACTATTTTAGATGGCAGATTTTTAAAAACCAACTTTTTAATTTTGTTTTTTAATAGTAGAAAGAAAGAAAGAAAGAAAGAAAGAAAGAAAGAAAGAAAGAAAGAAAGAAAGAAAGAAAGGAAGGAATGGGCCATGAATAGATATATTTATCCTCGATAGGTAAAGAAAGAAATTAGGAAAGCGAAAAGAAAGAAAGAAAGAAAGAAAGAAAGAAAGAAAGAAAGAAAGAAAGAAAGAAAGAAAGAAAGGGACGAATAGATATATTTTCGTCGAAGGGTAAAAGAAAAAAAATTAGGAAGGCGAAAAAAGAAAGAAAAGAAAGAAAAGAAAGAAAGAAAGAAAGAAAGAAAGAAAGAAAGAAAGGAATAGGCCATGAATAGATAAATTTATCCTCGATAGGTAAAGAAAGAAATTAGGAAAGCGAAAAGAAAGAAAGAAAGAAAGAAAGAAAGAAAGAAAGAAAGGAATGGGACATGAATAGATATATTTATCCTCGATAGGTAAAGAAAGAAATTAGGAAAGCGAAAAGAAAGAAAGAAAGAAAGAAAGAAAGAAAGAAAGAAAGAAAGAAAGGGCACGTGAATAGATATATTTTCGTCGAAGGGTAAAGAAAGAAATTAGGAAGGCGAAAAGAAAGAAAGAAAGAAAGAAAGAAAGAAGGGGGACATGAATAGAAAGAAAGAAGGGGGACATGAATAGATATATTTTCGTCGAAGGGTAAAGAAAGCAATTAGGAAGGCGAAAAGAAAGAAAGAAACAAACAAACAAAGAAAGAAATGAAGAAAGAAAGGAGGCGAAAAGAAAGGAATGGGCTATGAATAGATATATTTATCCTCGATAGGTAAAGAAAGAAATTAGGAAGGCGAAAAGAAAGAAAGAAAGAAAGAAAGAGAGAGAAAGAAAGAAAGTGGCCATGGATGGATATACTGAGCGTCGAAGGGTTGAGAGAGATAGAACGCTTAAGAGGTAAAAAAAGAATCAAATAAAAAGAAAGAAAGAAGAGGAAAAGAAAAGAGATAGATGAAAATATAGAGAGAAGATGGACATACCTACTTCGACTTTGGAATTAGAAAGGAAACAACATCAAAAAATAACTCTTCTATGGTTCACCCGATCAATATAATCGATTATTTTACCTTCATTATTTCAGTAAGGACATAGTTACATATACAGACGAATATATAAAACGATTGGACAATGTCAAGGTTGACAAAAGGTGTAACATATTGTTATTGTTGTTGTTCTATTTGCTGTCTTTCTTTATGGCTCTCCACAACATCCTGTGCTTTGTAACACTTAGTAGATTTTGTCTTTTCACTATCTCTGCTAATCCCTGGTCTTTACACAAGCTCGTTAGACAGGGGTTATGCATTGGTTTCCTCTCTTCTTGCCTTCGATATGTCCTGCCAGTGTCATATTTTCTAAGCCCTCTTTCCTCATTATGTGGCCTAGAAATTTCAGCTGTCTCTTTTTGATATGTACTTTTTGTCTCCGTTTTCTCTCAAACTTCGTCATTACTCACATTTTCAGATCATGGCATCCTCATCATCCTTCTGCAGAACCACGTTTATGTTGCTTCGAGTCTTTTCTTCATCTTTGAGGAATGTGTCAACCATTCACTGCCATATAAGAGGGCCGATATTACATAACCGTTAAGCACTGTTTTTGTTTCTAACGAGATTTTCCAGTTTCTTAATACTTTGCCTAGCTTTTGAAAGGCATCTTTCGCTATCTCAATGCGCCTTTGGATTTCGGAGTCACACTTTCCGTTCTTTGTAAAAACACTGCAGGAAATTTTTCTCCGCGGAATAGATCCTTCAAATTTACAAATCAACAATTCGCCCTTGCATGGAGTATTGCTGCCATATATGGTCTGGAGCCCCTTCTGTTTGCCTCGGGGTTCTTGATAAGATTCAGAGACGGATAGGCAATGTAATTGGCCCTGATCTGGCATCTTGTCTGCAGTCGCTCTCTCACGGACGTGCCGTCGTCTCTCTCTCTCTGTCTTTTTTACAAATATTTTCATGGTAATTGCTCCGATTTGATGCTTTCGCTGGTTCCAAGACTTTGCGAATTCAAGCGTCCTACGAGGCTGGCATCCCGCTCGCACCCTTTCACTGTTGAAACAGTTAAATGTAGCCGCCTCTTCTACTCGAATAGCTTCACCTCTCGCCTGTGGAACTCTCTTCCTTATTCCTGTTTCCCTGATAGCTATAATCTCCAACTATTCAAATATAATGTCAATCGACATCTCCAGTTGATCTATCCACTATCCTTCTCCCCATCCTTTCCTCTATCACTCCTATCTGCTCTCGCTCCAAATCCTCTGTAACCCCTTGCGTGTTAATGGCTTCCCGCTTTGCTTGGGGAGAAATGCTTCAAAAAAAATTAATTTTTGTACTTGCTTCATTTTATCACCTCCATTTTGTAGTCCGCATGTTAGGTACTTCTTTTCGCTGACAACCATACATTCCTGTCTTCTTACAGTTAATGTTTAATCTTTTCGTCTCACTACTTCCCTACCTTCTATCAAAGTTCTTGTAGTTTCATTTCCGTGTCTACTATCAACACTGTGTCATCTGCATAAGCAACGTTGTTAAAACTGTGAACGCCGGTAAGGAACGTTGTTTTTTCTTCTTTTTATGTTCCGTGTCCTTTCAGGACGTAGGCGATCATGTCTCTCCACTTTCACCCGTCTCTTGTGGCTCTCACTAAATTTCGTGCCTCTGCCAGCTCCCCCAGAACACGTTCTGTCATCCACTTGCTTAAACCCGCCACATATGTCAGGCGTTGCTTTCCCTTGTCTCTTTTTCCCCTCAATTCAACCTGTGAATATCAAATTCTCCAAGCCCTCCTTTCTCATTACGTGTCCCAGAAATTTCAGCTTCCTTATGTTAAGTATAAGCTTTCTCCTTGTTTGCATCCTCTCCTCACCCAGGCCGTCAATTTACAACAGTGAGTAGATAGTCCACGATCGGATATAAAGAATAAGCTTTCGTTCTATTATCTAATAAAACTTCAAGAGTAAAAACCAAGGAAAAAATCCATTCTAAATGATGCTACATCTATTGAACTAATTATTTCTGCGGTTCGGTTGTAATCAAAACAATTTGTTCCACTGCCTTCTTTCTCTCTACAATCTGTATCGAAGACATATTTTAAAATGTTAATGAAACGAATCATCATTCCAAAAGTAGTTGAAACTATTAAGTTCGTTGTTTTTGAGCTCTTTGTTGTTAAAACATTAGTTACACCGATTTGTTCTACAGTCTTTTTTAGGTGCACAATCCGTAAGTAAAAGCTTCCTGGGTATGGCGAGAAACTGCATCCAGCAGCAAGGCGGGACGTTTCTAGTAGCGTCAAACCACCTTTTAACTGGTGTTGTTCCCAGATCCACCCTGACCCGGGATGATAGTACCTGTCTGGGTCCTAGCTATGGGCAAATAGTGAACCCCCAAACCAAAATCAAAAGTACATTTTTATAATAAGACTAGCAGCCAAACCCAGCTGGTCGATCAGAAAAAACGTTCAATTAGAATGGAGAAAAAACAGCACCATGTTTAGATGTAGCAATTATTTTAAAATACTTTCATTAAAAAAACATTTTGAGTAAATGCAGTTACTGATATAACAAAAGTCGTCTGTATTTATTCAATCGAGGTTAGCCAGCAACATGAAGACCCACTTCAGACCACAATTATTTTGGAATTTTTGAAATTCAATTTATCAGTGTACTACCAGGAATGTAAAAGAGGATACATTTATAAAGCAATTGTTATGTTTGATGAGAATTGGTTGAAAGATCAACTAAAAATAAGAATGAAACCAGTAAATATCGCCATTTTTCGCTATTTACGCGGGTTTTCACTATATGGATGGACTCAATTTATCAAGTTAACTGACTGTTAAACAATCACCTTGTTGTTGCCTACAATTGAGTGAAGTTTATAGTAGATTGCTTGAAAATTGAAGGTGTTTCTAGTTTAGAATTTGTGTTGAAATCGATTTTTCGTTTTTGGCGGTTTTTCGTTAAATGCAGTGGCGTATAAATAAAAAGTGATATATCGTTGCACGTCATTCAATTGTGAAATCTTATAGAAAAATGACTAACAATATATTTTATCTGTAGTTGAAGCCATAAAACTGCATTCAAAATACTTACATTAAGGCATTAAATAATCCATAGAGGTTGATATGCTACTAAACAAAATCAAGCAACCAACCAACTTTATTAAACAAAAGTGAAGTCAACTTAACAGAAAATTCAGCGACTAGATTTCACCAAATGTCTCTGCCATATATTGGTGATAATTGTTAGTGAGGAATTTTAATCTCTTCGAACGTAGACTTTGGTTGGGACGAAGTGGTCATCTGGTCAGGATTAAGGATGATAATATACCTAAGCGGTTTCTATACGATGAAATGGATAAAGACCGCACACAAGCCGTGATTGAGAGATAAAGTTTAGTCGTGTTAGAGGTATATGTAAAGGAAAATCATGCAAAATGATTGGGAAGTCCCAGTTCTAGATCAATTATCATTTAGAAAAGCAGTGCACGATACGTTGAATAGAATGGTATTGCGCATTAAGAACGCAAGTGACATATTCGTAAGCGTTTTGATGTTTATTTTCCTGAATACATTGTCACATAATTTTGTTTGGTCTCAGTAGAGCAGGTCTAAAAATCCTCAAAACCGACACACGCAGAGAGAAATCTTCCATTACACATGATGCAGCATTTATGTAACGAAGATATGACACCCAGCAGCGCAATGGAATGTAAGACGCGAGCACAGCGTCTCTCAAATTGCGTTCTCCGCAAAACTACAGCTCTGCAAGAAGTTGATAGGGGTTCCGCGGAAACAAAATGAAGAAGAGATCCAGGCATTTTAAAGTAGTTTTTGTTTAATTTTATTTTCGTCATTTTACTATACATGCCACGGCATATTGTTAAAAAAATCCCTGGTTATTATAATGAAGGTTTCAATCTCTTATATTATTTAAAATTATAATAATCACGGGGAATGTATTTAGCGAAGGCGTCAGTGAAAAAACGCCTTCATTTCTTAGTGGACAAGACCTGTACGTGGTGGATTCTTGTCTCAATCGAGTGACTCACTCGATTACAGGACGCATGCGCAGTGTCTATAAATTATGTTTCCCACGTGAACTAAGACAGAAATATAAAAGATATATATATTAATGATGGTACATCATTTATATGCACGGAAACCCTGAGATATTAAAAGTATTTCAAGAATGGCACAAGGTAACGCTGCTCTAGCAAGACTAAAATGCCAAATCTGCTTTGCCAATATTTGCAGAAGGATCAAATGATGGCACTTCTCGAGACTGGGTCGCAGTCATCACACACACTCACACAAACACACGCAGATACACACACAAATACACACATATTTATAAACTAAAATAAAAATATAGTAAAAACTAATTAACGAAACGCATTTCTTTCCTCCGGGAACTTTCTTAAGAAACATATGTATTTATTCTTTTGAATAAATCGCAATATTTTGACATCGATAAAATTCTGAAGGAACGGAACAAGTTGCATTAGGTTTTCGTGTTTTGTCATTTATTTCAATTTATTAATTTCAATTTTATTAATTTCAATTTTTGGCTATACTTTTAGACATTATCAATATTCCTGCAATTCTAGATACATACGTAAAACAATTGAAACGTTCAGTTAAAGTTAAAATAAAAACATCGTTAAAAATGGCTGAAAGTATAATCGAAAGTTGCCGGATATACAGAACATTTCCACATAATTTATATCCAGAAAAGATGAAAATTATAAAAATACAAGAAAAATTACATAAAGAACTTAACCGATTTATCTTGTCAGCCGTTTCTAATGAAACTTATATATGCACACACACACATATATATATATATATATATATATATATATATATATATATATACACACACACACACATATATATATATATATATATATATATGTGTGTGTGTGTGTGTATTCAATGCGTGTGCGCAGTATAAACGATCAGTTACTTAATAAGTGCTTCCGATCTGAAAAATATTACATTTACACAATATATATATATATATATATATATTAACAAATTAATATATTAAAAGACTAATATGACTTATTTAATATATATATATATATATATATATATATATATATATATAATCCTATATATATATATATAATCCTATATATATATATATATATATATATATATATATGATTAATATGAGTAAAATTTTGTCACTTAGCTGATTAATGTTACCTTCAGTATCCTGACTCCAGAGTTTCGAAGGCAGACTTGATAGATAGATAGATAGATAGATAGATAGATAGATAGATAGATAGATAGATAGATAGATAGATGAGACAAAATGGGAAAATCTATTAATTCAACGTGTGTTGTTCTTCGGGGAACATCATTCACGCCCAAATGAAGAGATTTCTTTTAAAAAAAAACTCCATTTATTGTTTTGAATAAATCTCGCCATTTTGCCATCGATGTAATTCATGAAGGAACGAAATGCGTTGCAATAATCAGTTTTCCAGTTTTGCCATTTACTTCACTCTAGTGATATTGTCTTTCAGACATATTCACTCATGTTTCACACATCAGAGCTTTTCTATATAAGTATTAGCACATCCCCCGGACAATGATACATAACTGATTCCAAGTTTCATCAGCAACGTTACTCATGGACGAGTTCACGATTTTTTACACATTTTCGTTCATTGTACTGTTCAATGTATATGCGAGCATATCCCGCTGATTTCTTAATTTGAGTGGTCATCATCTTCAACGGACACTCAACCGGCCTTGAATCAAGCGTCTAACTCTAAAACTTGTGTCCGACCTAAATGCTCATCAAAACTCTTGCAAGGCATTTGAAGGATCTCGGCAGCCGATTCGCCAAACTTCACGGATTATATATTGCAGGCACGCATTTATCAGCCAGAGTAAAGATCACAGAGCTGTTGCAGCACAACATTTCAAGGTCTTTTATGATAACTGAAAATTAGTAAATAAATATATCTATAGGTATACTAACTATACGCATATCCAATGAACAGTACATACTGAACGCCTACAATTTACGAGCATTTTTATCACTACTAACTCCTATACATACACACATATATGTGTGCGTTAGTGTTATATACATGTTAAAATATCATTGCCTGTGTATGAAAATAGCTTCAAGTGTTTTCCATCTTAGTGGTTTTCCATCCTAGTGTGTGCTGTACAGTATTTTGCTATTATCTACTTACATTTGGTCGTATGTTAATTGTTATATTTTAGCTGGTTATAATTTTATCATCGATATGTACACGAATTATCCTGATGCATCTCAAACACAAATAAACAAACTTCTTTAAACTATTGGTTACACAATTATCGCATTATCTCGTAGGTTATCACTTGTCGAAACTTAGCGATATATATATTAACAGAGTTCACCAAAAATGTATACACACTTCCGAAAAGGAAAAACTTGTCTTTCGTAGTTTTATCAAAATGCGATAACACTGTTGTAGTACGATATTTTCTCGATATATTCCATTACTCTTGTGACTGTAGCATCAACAAGTCCTAAGGGATGATGTACATTGCAGGAAAACGACTAAAATGGCGAGCTTCAGACAAGAAAATGAAAATGCTTCTGCAACAATCCCACTGGACACTGTAACCAACATTACCCCAGCAGTAGTTCGCCATATTAATAAAGGTCTGGAAGCTAAAGCCCGCCGTTTTGAACGTCTCTTGCCATTGTAGAGTCCAAAGCTAACATCTTGTGATCTCTGAATAAATTTAGTATTACAATATCTATACAAGTTTTTCGTTTCATGAAATGTGTATACATTTTTGGGCGGACACTGTATTTACATATCATGTAAAACATACCAAGAAAAATGCAAATTTATGAACCATTTATAAAACAGATATACTTTAAATAAAACAGATAAAGAAAATATCGCGAAAAAAATAACAAAGAATAAAATAAAATAATTAATAAATTAATAAATTGTACGAATGCACGCATAACCACTACTAATTAATTTTATAATAATAATCAAAAACGAATGATCAAATACTATCAAATGAATAATCAATAAACAATAAATTACAAGTTGAAAGTTATCAAACAACCTTAAACAATAGCTAAAAAAGAACCACATTCTGGGCCATAATTATTTCTACTTAACAACCTTTAGAATAATTTAAAATATAACCGTTCATGCTTATCGAATAACCATTAGAAACACAATAAACCAGAAATAACTGACCTTGCTACTCATAATGCCTCATTCACCAGCATATACAAATAGTCGAGCTACCACCCAACACACAGAGCCGGAAAATTGTGTCCAAACATTAAATAGACTGTCGCCACCAGATGTTTCCCATAGTGTCTACTCTTATATTTACTCTCTCCCGAAAACTTAGCACTTTTACCCGTAAATATTGCATAGTTATTTTACCATAGACAGATTTTCTTTTACTGTTAGTTCAAATAGTACAAGGCCCAAGAGCCACTAAAGGCAGAAGGTTACTGAATGAGATTCTAAGGAAATGGGAAGGAGGTACGAGAGTATTATAAGGACGAGTAGGATAGATATCGTTTGACGCTAAACAGAAAGAGAGCTACATTGTAGTTGTCAGGGAAACATTCTCTTGAGAGCTTGTTCTACAAAGAAATATTTCCGGGAAGGAAGCTGTCTGAGGGGAATTTGTTTGTTGTCAAACGGGAATAAGGATGGTTTTCTAACGGGAACATGGCACAGTGGGTCTTAGCTGTGATGGTCTAAACTGGTGGAATGTCTCTCATCCGGATAGATAGATAGATAGATAGATAGATAGATAGATAGATATCGAGCGACCTAGTAATAAATACGCTATGGTGACTGTCCGTTTCACGGTTAAAGTGCCCCGAAGACCTCTTAGGGCTGATTCGAATGTCCGCTTTCTCAGCTATATTTCCAATATTGAGCAATATTTTCCCATAGGGCTTAGGGCCACATAACGTTTTAACACCAGTTCCGATACGATCATCGAAGTTAAGGCAACGTCGAAACTGGTCACTACCTAGATGGATGACCTCTTGGGAATACCAGGTGCTGTAAGCGTGAATGTGCGGTTGGTGTAAAGGATAATGAATCTGACTTGTTAATCGGATAACCTAGTTTCAATTCCCGCTCAGTTCGTTTTATGCACTTACGCGCAAATACCATTATGAAAGGTATGAATCCACCTTTTCACTCCCAGCTATGGGTTAATTAGTAAGACTTGTATCCTTATAGTAAAAAAATATATAACCTAACTCTGATAGAGTATATAGCAAAAGAATTAAACTGGATCCAGAATGCAAATGCAAAAGGATTTACACTTACGTGTTATATTATAAATTTACTAATTTCAAAATATGGTCCCATCGCTACACAGGAATTACCATGTTTCAAAAACAAAAACTAAAAACTTCAAATTTAATTATAGAATTTAATCAAAATCCCTACTGCTCTTTCATTTCTATGCGAATTTTGGAATAACATAATACCTATTCCCCCAAGTGACCTTACCAGAATAATACCTATTCCGGCAGGCGATTCTGAAGCAAAAATCCACCAAGCACACAATAACTGATATATAAATAATTGCCAATGCTGATCTTCAAATAGCAAGCGGCCAATCTGAAACGCTTACGTCACTTCCTCTTCAGCCAAGACGAAGCAAAAAGAGAACTAACTGAATGCTCGTCTTTTCCCTCTGAGGTGCAACACGAGGAAATGACCCACACTCTCAATGAACACTGCTCGAAATAACAGGTAAGTTCACATAAGAGAGATAATATCACCTACCTAACGAATTGGTGTAAATGCTTGGAAGAACAGGATTTAGGAGAGATAGTAAAAAGAAAAAATATTGAGCTACAAACAATAATTAATAAATATTAGATATATTATTATTAATATATCCTTAGGCATTTGTTAGGAATATACTCCAACAGGTGCACAGAATCGACTCATCACTGATGTTATGACTTGCGATCATGACAAGTTTCGTGTCTTTCAACATCATACCTGTTCACCCAAGAGACCCTACCGGGACAATACCTATTCCACCAGGTGGTCCCGAAGCAAATCTCCACCAAGCACACAACAACGGACATATAAATAACTACCAAAGTTGATCTTGAAATAGCAAACGACCAATCAGAAACGCCTTACGTCACTTCCTCCTCAGCCAAGACGAGACAAAAAGAGAACAAATTTAATGCTGGTCTTTTCCCTCTTAGGTCCAACACGCGGAAAGACCTACAATCTTAATGAACACTGCTTGACATAACAGGTAATTTCTACTTGTCGCCAGGAAAGTTTTTATCTCCTATGAAACGATGCTTGACTTAGAAAAAAACACTCATACGCATTCGCTGGTCATAGGAATTATGATGAGAAACGATATTTTGTTTTTCTTGCTGGATAGGAAAAACACCGCCTATACTAGAAATACCAAGACGTCGTCGAGGAATAAGTTAAAAAATACGACCCTCCCATGAAACATCGACCTTGGTCATCTCTCTATATATTTCTATTCTTTTTTTTTCCTTTTCTCTTCTGTCTTTTTTTTTTTTTATCCCATTCCAACAGCACCTCAACGTCCTCCGCCGATCTCCGTCATAGACCTCCATGGATCTGATCCTTTAATCAATAGCCATTTTGAGGCTTTCTCTGCAGATTCAACACGTAAAGTTGGTATCGGAATTATTCATCTCCTCCGATAATACATCATGGAAATTTCATGTGCATTTTTCACAAATTATGAAATCGTGGATCTGAAAGTACGTGTAGTTACAGGCACAAGGATGGGCTCCTCGAGGCGGTGTAATGGTTACCAAACACTTGCTAGAACAGTTACGACTGATTAGTGAGTTCGATCCTCACTGGGTGCCCCCTATTTCTGGCCTTGTACCACACCTAAGCTACACTTAAACAATCGCTACTCTCACAACGATGTTATTTTAATGTCAATCAATAATACCAAAAAATCAAACAAACATTTATGATAGAACACAATTTATTGTCCCTCTTCTATCAATACGTTAACCATGTAACCTTTATTCACAATTATGGCCTGTAATCCTGTTAATTTTAATTCCTTGCATTAATAATTCTACGCACACTGACAGGTATTTTTCGATTCTATTCTTTCATGGTAGTAGTTTCTAAATCTTTTAGATCTACATCCTCCAAATTTTATATTAGTTTGATTTTCTTTACCTCTATGGGTTATTTAATGCCGAAATCTAAATATTTTAACGCATTTGTATGCCTTCAACTACTGACAAAATGTATTGTTAGTCATTTTACTTTAAATATGTATTTTTGGTCCTTTTTATATAAAAATATGTTGCTGGTTAACGTGTATCTATGTAAACTGTGTGTAATCTTAGTTTATTTTTGTTTTGTTTTTTACAAAAATGCTCAGTGAAAAACTATCAGGAAGCCATTTCAGACCTTATGTCTCTGGTTGGAGAGTATTCTATTTTGTTGAGGTTATAAACATACTATTATAAAAAATATATTTTATATTTTCATAGCGTTTTGTTTTTGTTTGGAGATTCACTATTTGCCCATGTCTGAGACCCTAACCGGTGCTACAACCCCGAGTTAGGGTGAACCTAGGAACAACAGCAATTAAGAGGTGGCCCCACTCTCTTCTCAACACCTTCAATATCCCGATCAAAAATCCTTACTGCTGGATGTAGTCTATCGTCATGTCCAGGACTATCCTCCAAATTATTCCAGTTTCTGTCTCCTAGATTTAATATGTACATAGTATGTATGACGCCACAGAATGAATTATATATGTATATATGTATGAACGAGACATTTGCAAGTTTTTGGATGATGACATGAGTTACCAAAACAGTAAGGGAGTAAGGGATTAAGGGAGACTGAGCGATATTGTAAAAATAATGATTTTGCATTTACTGCTTCGTAGTTATTTGCTGTACATCTGAAAGCTGTGTTAAAAAAAATCCGAAAAAAATGTATCGACAGACAGGTGTAGCATCATTTCGTGTTGACAGAACGATCCAAATTCGCTATCAATAAATGTTGATATGATATTCATGAAGTTGGCGATACCCAAAATGAACAGGTAATTTATGTTACCAGAGTCCGTTGCAGATTTGCTAAGATCAAGTGAGAAGATCTTACACTTCTTTCTATATTTGTGCCGTACCTTATCAAATGTTTTATTGCGTAGTCTATGCATCATTAGTATATGTCCTTCTGAAGATTTTAGTGCTTTATCTGATATTACTCTGATCATAAATATTTCATTTCTTGTTCCAGTATCTTTTACCAAATCGCACTGTTCTTTTCCTATTTCTGATCTAATTCTGTTACACACTATATCCATCAAAATCCGGATTTATTTCTGTGGCTCAATAAGCTGATTTTTCGATGGAGCTCGCATTTATTTGTACCTGACCACGTAGGCATCATTACGAAGATGGATATACTAAGGGTTTCCTGTATTTTTCGATGGAGCTCGCATTTATTTGTACCTGATGGATCATTACGAAGATTTATTTGTATTTTTCGACCACATTTATTTGTACATCATTCATTACGAAGATGGATATACTAAGGGTTTCCTGTATTTTTCGATGGAGCTCGCATTTATTTGTACCTGACCACTTAGGCATCATTACGAAGATGGATATACTAAGGGCTTCCTGTATTTCGCCAGTTATTATTTCCCTAACTTTGTTGATGCAAGAATCAACTGTTTTTTCCTATCCTGCTTGTCCAGTGTCCATCTTACCGTAAGCTCTAATATTTCAGATCCTTCCATATTATTCTGTTTATGGTTTCCCTCTTTTTGTTGTGAAAGAGTTCGCCAACATATTCGTTTCATCCTTGGATATTTTTTCTTTTGTGTTATGAACGTTCACTAAATAAATATGACAGTGGTGAAATATCAGAATACTTCAATAGATCAGTCTTTAGAGTGCTATCTAAGAAACCAAGTGTAGGCCCATGAAATACAGCATGAATAACTGCATAACCAAACTACTCATTAAGATTCTTGACTTGAGAACGTAGCATATTTAAACCGAAAACAGAGCATGAACAGAGTAGCGCTGTTGAAAACACTGGAACAAGAAATGCAAATTTTCTGATCAGAATATTACCCTGGCTAATACGAATGTCGAAAGTTCTATACCTATATTTCAAAGATTGCACTAAATAATTTTATATCAAACTGAACTCTTAAATAATGCACATTCTTTTATATAACAGTGAAGACAATTTGCTCAAAGATGACTTTTTTCTATATTATGTATATATTATATCATAGAATAAGACTCAGCGTACTTCCTGCTCTTCCCTACTGCTTTGACAACCGGCTGATCGACATATAAATATGGCAAGTAGCTACATTAGACGATGATTTGTATAGCATTTGCTAGTAGTATCTACCTAGTCTTCTGTTCCGTCGATACTCGCTCTACCTACGGTCGCCCTAATTCTCGGCTATTTTGAACAAGTGCAACGTCACAACAGTTCCTTATTTCTTATATGATAAAACAAATTACAAAGGAAACGAAGTTGTACAAAGCTCGGGTATATGCTCTCTCATTCGTAGGTGAAACACTGCCATTGAAAGAGGTGTTGACTATATTGAGACGTAGGGATATGAACCTGTCATGTACAGCAATAACTTGATTTATGATATGTTTGTACTCCTGTTCTAGAGAACGGCCCAGCATACTTCCTGCTCTTCCCTAATACGGTGGCAATGGACTGCTCCTACATAAATATGGCAAGTAGACACATTAGAAGAGGATTTGAGTAGTATTTGCTTTACTCAAGAATTTCAGTTCTGTGTATGAATATTTAATAAACTTCTTATTCTACCTCGTCTTCTTTTCCTTCGATACTCTCTCTAACTACAGACTTCCTAATTCTCGGTTATTTTGAACAAAGACAATATTACAACATATTAAGAGCGACGATTTCTATGAATTTCGAGATGCCGTGGAGATTATTATTAATAAGATTTTGATTTGGATAAATCTTCTTTGAATAAAGACGATTTAAAGAATAAAATGAATAAAACTTTTGAAGTATAAAAATCCAAACGGTGGTATGACGAACTACATCAGCGGCTTACTCCAAATTAAATACAACATAAAAGTTATTTTTTCCTGATTTAAGTAGCAGTAATTCCTATCTATCTATCTATCTATCTATCTATCTATCTATCTATCTGTCTGTCTGTCTGTCTATCTCCTCTAGTTCGACCTTCAAAAGAATTTTAAACTAAAAAATCGAACAGAAGAAAAATATGTAGAACATCAATTAAAATTCTCATGTAAATTAATTAACACTAAATCAACGGGCGTGATCGATCAATAATCATGAAATCTTTCTTTGTTCAAGGTCTTGTCCAGTAATGAAATGAGTAACGTTTTGTCTAATCCAATTATGAAAGCCAGTTGTTAGGTCATTTGTGATCAATAAAACAAGAGATGTGATTTGGTGACATTCATACGACTTACAACCTAGAGACTTCACTTTCTGTCTTTAAAGCCCTTACCTCTTTTCATTCTTTATGCAGTACATTTCAGGAGTGTGAATTAAGGTGATGCTTCTATTAAAATTTCGATTTTATATCTTTTTTTTTTTAAGTTTCTTTTGGAGGGGGACTGTGCGGGGAAGATTCGATGAATTCCTTTCTTGGTTAGTGAACAAAATAAAATCGATATATCGAATCAACTTATTGATGAAATGTCTAAGCGTGTTTCCGCATTTTTTCTAGGTACCCTGTTGTGTAGCAGTGAATCCTGGACGACTTACGCCAAGAAGAAGAACCGCTTGGAATCTTTCCATCTCCCCCTGCCTACGACATATCCTCGGTGTCACATGCCTTGATACAGCGAACGAGATTCTTAAACTTTATTACTCTGTATGCGATTTTATTTACTGTGCAGAAAGTTTATCCTGACTCTGTTCCCTGAATTTGAGTTTGATTTAATTTCATAGTTGTGTTGTCATATCCTGCTATGGCAACAGAAAATACGTCTGAGTGAAATTAACAATAAGTTTACAGCAATTGGGAAGCATTAAAAAATAATGGAATGAGAAGTTATATTAATAATGCAGAGTGCTAAAGGTTAAGTTTACAGCTCTTCTTTGGACATGATCATCAAATAAATTACGGTCGTAAACCAAAGGATGTTACCTATGGTGATCTGACCACACGACTATCTCCAGTAGGCCGTTCTTCACTGCGCTTTAATTGCTATCTGCAAGCACGACTTGAAATTCAGAGATTGACAAAGGAGTAGGTGGTCGGTGACATCAGAATCTGACGACAGACTGTTCGAGAAGACAATAAGTGAGTTCACAACTAACGTAAACGTCAAATAAAAAAGAGACTGGGAAGGTGAAAACATGGCAATTTCAAGTCCATGCAATACACATCAGTTTTCTGAGGACGAGATTGTCATTTACGAGGTATTCGAGATGTTGACATCGATGGGATTTATTCTAAACAGCCGGGACGTTACGCTTATCTTACGAGATAGATTTCTAACAGAGAATATTTTCGACAGTGTTTAATTTTGACTTACAATAAGAGCTTATGTAATTTGTTTCTCATACTTTTTATTTAATTTTACACTATTGATCCCGGTTTCGAACAGTAAGAAAATCAGCTGATATGCCGAATCAAGTTCTTGACGCAATTCTAAATACCTCTGCGTGTGTAATCAAGGGACAACTTACGCAAAAACTACTTGGAATGCTTCCATCTCCGCTGCCTACAACGCATCCTCAGTGCCACACGCTAAAATAATACCACTAACGTCCCAATGATGTAGCGAACGAGATTCTTAAGGCTACATCTCCTCAACGCCAGCGAATGCTCGTGTTCACCAAATGAAGGACGGTTGTATTCTAAAGTTTGTTATATACGGAGATCAGACTTTTTTATACTGTTGTATCTGAAACGTAAACAAATTTCTAAGGAATTAATGATTTTTTTTTTTTTAAATACGGCTGCAATGAACAATCACAGAGATTTTGGGGTGCGTACTTAAACTTTATTGACCTACAACATGACCGCTGTGTAGATGCCTTTTCTAGTCATAAGTGTAGAAGAGTTACAACAAAGGGAGGTAATTCGAAGAGATTTTATCACCATACTGGCATTATTTCCTATCACTCTGATCTTTATTTTAGTGGCTACACCTGTTTCTTTAAAAGGCTAATTGAACATTGCTGAATTGTTGTTGCGGCCTGTTAGGGGCCCGAAAGAAAGACACGGAAAGGAGAAGATAGGCTGAACAAGTGTATTTAAATAACAGAACATATATACAAAATAAGAGTGTTATTAGTCAGCAGATAGAGGTGTCAGTACGAACTATCAGTTACACTGCGTCCCGACTTCCTCCTTGGAAAGTCTCGCAGGTTAGTATTTATGAAGGAGGAAGAGTTTATTCTAATGTAGATAGGACACCATAACAGAAATGTGCCAGATGTTTTATCAACCTCAATGGGTTATTTAATACCGACAAGATTTTTATTACTGGTAATATTTTTTTTCAAAATGTATTGCTGGTAATATTTTTTTTTCCAAGATGTATTGTCGAATTTTTTTCAAAAAATGTATTGCTGGTATTTTTTTTTTTTTAGAAATGTAAGGCTGCTAATATCCCCCCAAAGTATTACTGTTCATTATTGCTGGTAATAATGTATTGCTGAATTTTTTTTCTTCAAGAATTCATTGCTGGTAATAATGTTTGCAAAAATGTATTGCTGGTAATAAGACCTATTTTACACGTTTTGACCCCAGTTTGTGTTGTGGCCTGTTAGGGGCCAGAAAGAAAGATATGGAAAGAAGAAGAAGTGTATTGAAATAAAAGAACATATATATAACATGAGTGTTATTAGTCAGCAGTTACAAGTGTCC